TGCAATGAGGCAATTGCCTCCAGATGTAATTTACACAACTCTTAAGTGGTCTCTAAACCACTCTAAAGCTCTTTTAATCAGCTCTAAACTGCCACTAAATGGCTCTAAACATCTCTATTTATTACCACCTTTAAAATGCCTTTAAATTTCCTGTAAAGAGCTCTAAAGGTCTGAAAAATAACTCCAAATTCCTCCAAAACTACTCAAAAGCACACTGAGCAGTTCTGAGGAGCTGTCTGGTCAGACACTGGAAGAGGCTGCCCAGGGAGGTAGTTGAGTCACCATCCCTGAATGTTTAAGAGATGTGGTGTTGGGGGTTATGCTGTAGAGGAGAACTTTACTGTAGAGTAGGGTTGATGGTTGGACTCGATGATCCCAAGGGTCGTTTCCAACCTGAATGATTCTATGATTCTATGTAATATATACCCTTTAAAGAGTGCTAGGGTCCTCTAAACTGCACTAACATCTTTCTAAACCTCCTCTAAGCAGCTTTCAGATTCATCTGATCTTATGTAGAACTCCTCTATATTGATCTGAAGATCCCTGAATTTTCTTTGGGCCTCTTAAACTGCTCTAAGCAATTCTAAAACTCATTGAATATGCTGTGAGGTGCCCTAAACTCCTCAAATACCACTAGACAGCTAGAAAACATCTTGGATGAGCTCTTAAGGAGCTGTTATTACACCCTCTAAATTACACTTTTTCAAATCATCTGATTCTGAAACACTCCAGAGTGATGCTAAATCAGTCTGGACTTCTTTAAACAGCTCCAGAATACCTCTAAAATGCACTACACTGCTCTACAACACATCTAAACAGCTCTAAAACTGTTCTAATGAACTGTAAACATGGCAAGAAGCCATAAATTCCTCTAAAACCTCCACTCTTACCTCTCCGAAAATCCTCTAGACAACATTAATATGTAAAATTTCTCCACACTTCTTTAAGCAGCAGTAAAATGCTTCAAAATAGATCTCAAGCCCCTCTAAGTCTCCTTGCAACTGCTCTAGAAATTCTTTCTGCAGTTCTGAAACTTCTGTTCAGAGAAACATTGCTAAAACATCTCTGAAGTCCTCTAAAGTGCTCTGAACAGCACTAAGCAGCTCTGTGCTGTTCTAAATGGAGCTAACTCCTCTAAAACCCCTATAAACAATTCTAAGCACCTCTAAACTGATCTAAAGCCTCCTCTATATTGCTATAAGCAGCACTAATGTGTCTCTAAATACATGTAAAATGCCTCTAAATCTCTACAACTCTATAAACTCCTCTACACAGCTCCAAAAATTCCTCTAAGCAGCTCTAAAACCCATCTAGACCAATCTCTAACTTCTACAAACTGTTCTAAGCAGCTCTAAACCAGTTCAAGCTTCTGTAACACCTCTCTCATATGCTGTCAACAGCATGAAGTAGCTCTAAAACTCTCTTAAAATACTCAGAAAATCTTCTGAACGTTCTCTGAATGGTTCTAGAAGTCACTGGATTGTCTCTGAACTTCCTGAAATACTCTGTTCTTTTGGCGCCGCTACTGCTTAGCCTCTTCATTAATGACCTGAATGATGGAGCAGAGAGAGCACCCTCATTCAGCAGATTTGCAGTCACATGAAGCTGGAAGGAGGGGCTGATGGACCATCAGTGTGCTTCCATCCAGAGGGACCTTGTGATGCTGGAGAAATGGGCCAACAGGAACTGCATGAAGTTCAACAAAGGGAAGTGCAATGTCCTGCAGCTGGGGAGGAATAAACTCATTCACCAGTACAGGCTGGGAGCCACCCAGCTGGAAAGCAGCTTGGTTGAAGAGGACGTGGTGGTCCTGGTGGACGAGTGGAATGCAAACCAGTAGTGTGCCACTGCAGTATCCTGCATTAGGAAGAGAGTTCCCAGCAGATCGAGGGAGGTCATCCTGGTAAGATGCATCTGGAGTGTTGGGCTACCCAGTAAAGGGAAGACATGGACTTCCTAGAGTGAGTCCAGTGAAGGGCCTCGAAGATGATCATGGGATTGAAGAATCTGTATTACAAGGAGAGGCTGAGCGAGCTGGGACTGTTCAGCCTGCAAAAAGAGAAATTACCCATAGGAATGGAAGAGCATAGAGAAGAGAGGGTTTCTGGAAGAACAAGATGAGCCTCAAAGAAAAGAAAAATACATGTGCTTTGTGAGAACCTGTTAATAAAGCCAAACCCCAGAGAAAGACCTTTGCATCTGAACAGCCCACAGTGAGAATAGTTTGGAATGGAGGAGGAATACCACAAACCCAAACTCCTGGGATTATTATGTGAATACATGAAAAATGTGCTCCCAGAGTACACAACAACGGGGGATTGTTCTCTCTACTGCAGGCACTGGATGCTCTCAATATGTGCTCTAATGGAATTGCACGCTGAATGTTTTATTGCACCTGCTTCATGGATGGGTATAGAAAACCCACATGATTTTCCCCAGGAAGCAAACCAAGCCCACAGGAGGGCAGCGAGCTGCAGGCATTAACGTGCTCTAATGGAAGGGCACACTGAGGGCAGAATGTTTTATTGCACCTGCTTCATGGATGGGTATAGAAAACCCACATGATTTTCCCCAGGAAGCAAACCAAACCCACAGGAGGGCAGCGAGCTGCAGGCATTGGGGCATATTCAAGAAAGACCTATTGACATCTTTTTGGAGGTCAGTCCATATGGACTCTATATGGCCTTTCATAGCTTCTTTTCTTCTGACCCTGTTAAGTATCAGCCACAAATCTGTGCAGGGCACTGCCTTGTCTTAAGAGGTGCTGGGGGTCTGCTGGTCATATCTACTGGGAGACGATTTGGATTCCTGACCAGCTGCAGTGGAGCAAGAAATGGGCAGGAGATGAAGAAACATGCAGCCGAAGTCTTCCGTGGTTGAAGTCCTCATGGTGTCCTGCAGCCCCCACAACATGAGCTGCACCCAGGTCTTGGTGGTGTACCTAGTGGGGCCAAAATGAAGTGGGTCTTCCCCTTCTCATTTCTACGCATCTTGTGGCTTTTGGTTTATGTCATGGTTTTTTCTATTCGTACATTCCACGTTTACACGTTACTGGTTTGGGTTTCTATTACCCAAATTGTGATGATTTGTAAAAGAACGATGAGTTAGAGGCGCTGAGTAACAGGAGGTCCCCACCACAGTTGGCATCCATCAGAGACAGTTATCTGCAGAGCTGGCAGGTAGATAGCCATGGCAAAGATCAGAAGAGCTAAATACGACCTCTCCTTTTCAAAGGGGGCTGAGGCACGGGGGTCAATACCTGGCTTATTTCTTCAATGCCACAACATTTAGATTTCATGCTGAGTACAGATTTGGGACCCTGAGGGTGAAATGTGCGCATTTGTCACCTAAAATAAATGCAGAGGTGCCAAAGGGGGCTGAGGCACGGGGGTCAATACCTGGCTTATTTCTTCAATGCCACAACATTTAGATTTCATGCTGAGTACAGATTTGGGACCCTGAGGGTGAAATGTGCGCATTTGTCACCTAAAATAAATGCAGAGGTGTATGATGAGTTGAAAAGATGCTGAATTTTGGGGGCATATGGGATTTTGTTTTTCTATAATGATAATATTCTGATGCTCACCCTTAAATTACTGAACTGTAGTTTGGGGTTTCATCTCCAGTTGCACCTTTGTTTTTTTCTGGGAACAGAGAAAAGATGAAGTGTGACTAATTTGTTTGGGGAAAAAAATAACCTTTTAATCAGAGATGATCTTTGTCACAGTTCCCAGGCCTTCGCAAGCTCTTGACATGCCCTCTGGTGCTTGTTCCCTTTACGACAAGGCAGCGAGGGTTTGCTTCCTCACTTACCACGACGAGCCTTCCCAAATCCATCTTGCTCCATGGCACTGAAGTGCGCTTTGATTTCTGTTGCACCGTGCAGTGGATGTGGTGTCTCTCTAGCGGAGAGCTCCAGGAGGGCATTTTGATGCTGATAATTGCAGCAGGAGCATGAACTTCTCTCTCTCGTGCAGCTCCGGAGCGCATGGGTGGACAATCTTAAGGGGAGCTTCAGGCAAACACACTTCTAGTTTGCACCCAGGCTTCCCTCATTTTTTAAGCCATCAACAAGAAGGTATCTCCTTCTTTCTACAGCGGCTTGTGCCTGGGCAGAAATTCCCTGCTGAAATTCGTAGAGCTGTTAACCAAATGCTCCCAGATCTCCTGCCCTGATGCTCCCCAGCGCTGCCCTTGGTCTTGGCTAGGGTAGGTACCATTCCTCCAGCAAAGAATCACAGAATAGCAGTTTATTGATGGTTGGAAGGGACCTCTGAGTCTAACCACAAAAAAAACCCAGCAAAACACCCACCCACAGACACAAAAACCAAGAATCTCGGGCACTATAGCATGCCCTGAAGTGTCATGTTTACATGTTCCTTAAATACCTCCAGGGATGGTGACTCCACCACCTCCCTGGGCAGGCTGTTCCAGTGCTTGACCACCCTCTCAGTGCAGTAATTCTTCTTGATATCTAATCTAATCCTCCCCTGCCGCAATTTTAGACCGTTTCCTCTGCTCCTGTCATTATTCCCTTGGGAGAAGAGGCCAACCCCCACCTCTCTAGAACCTCCTTTCAGGTGGTTGTAGAAGGCAATGAGGTCTCCCCTCAGCCTCTTCTTCTCCATACTAACCATGCCCAGTTCCCTCAGCCTCTCCTCAGACGACTTGTTCTCTAGAGCCTGGGGTCTCCTCACTTCCAGCTCTTTTATCTCTCCACCCTGTTATTCTTTTTTTTTTTTTTTCATTATTTTAAAGTTTATTTGGTGGTTTTGTTTTTTTTTTACTTTTAAAAGTTGGCAAATAGCGACTGACCATCCAAAGAAGCCTTAGCTTGGAAGCGCGCGTTGTAAAAGGGGGGGGGTGACAGGGAGACTGCGGCTGTTGGGATGGGGCAACCGGAGGAAGGCGGGGAGGAGGCAGAGGAGGGGAGATGAAGAAGAGCCGCCTCCTGTGAGGAGCTGTGGGCCGGCGGGAGGAGCCAGGGGAGGGATCGGGGGAGCGGAGCCGCCCGCCCGGCCGGACGGGCCGGCCTTCCCCTCGGCTGGGCCGGGGCCGGGCAGGGGGGCTGCGGTCTTCCGGGGATGGGGTCAGCGTGAGGTCGGCTTTCTCGAGGAAAAAGGGTTTTGAGGAAGGTTCTCTGCAAAACTCTGTGCCTTTCCAGGCTGCCCCGGCGTCAGCAGGTATGTGCCAGCCGAGATGGGAAAGGAAGGGTAAAATAGAAGATGTCTCTGAAATGTGACTTGCCCCGGGTGGTCCCAGCCCTGTTCTGGGATGGTGCTGGCTGCAAGAAGTCACTCTTTCGACGACAACAACAAAAAGACAGTTCTCTCTAACCAGAAATAACACCCTCGCAAAGTCCACTTCTCCTGAACTTTGTCTGGTTTTGCTGTTAACTGAAATTAGTTGAAACTCCGCTTAAATAAATATGCTCCATCCCTGGGCGTGCTGAAGGCCAGGTTGGATGGGGCTTTGAGCAACCTGGTCTGGTGGGAGGTGTCCCTGCCCAGGGCAGGGGGGTTAGAACTAGATGATATTTAAGATGATATTTATCTCTTGCGACTCTAACCATTCTATGATTCTATGAAAGAAGGGAATTGCTTTTAATTCTGTCTTTTCCAAACAGCTCAATGACGCCCGGAAAGAAGTTACAGGGCCTTGTAGCAGCTACACTCACTCCAATGACTCCTGATGGGTGAGTATGACCCTGTATCACAACATGGCATGTTGTCAGTTGTACTGTTACCGTTACCGTAAAACCCTGTCTTCCTTCTTTCTTACTTGGATCAGTTTTGGCTTTGTTTTTAAATCAGCTCTCTGATGGGATGGGGAAACTGCTAAGGTTGGTCTCACTGGCACTAGAGTGGGTTCCCTTCGCCTCTGCATCCTCCTGTTGCCCAGCAAGTGCTGCAGATCTGGGTTTGGAAAGTTTGGATCAGTCTCCCATCTCTTTTTCTGTCACTTTTGTAGGTGCAGATTAAATCATAGTGGAGGTTATATACATAAGAGTATTACAGTATTTTCCCATTTGTTACAGTCCTAGTTAAAAAGAGCTCTTGAGAGCTAGAAAATAATTCTCAAAATCTGATGTCCTTTTAGACTTTTCTTCACCCGAGCTAACTCATGCATGCATTCACGTGTATGTCTGCGTACATGGAATTAACCTAAACCAGAAGAAAATATTGCAAGGACTGCACAGTTCTGAAAATAACATTCAAAGTTGAAATTGGGGCTTCCTCAAAGCAGTGATAGTAAGCAGATGTCCTCCCTACCACATTCTGATGTTGCAAGACAGGGTTGTTTGGAGTCAGCAAAGGAGCCTGAGCTTCTCTGAAGGGGACCATGTCAGGATTTGTATGTATTTTTGAGGAAGACGATGGAGGTTTGCTAGTACAGTCCCCTGACAGTGATCCCTTACTTTTGAAGTGCTGTAAAGCATGCCACTGTCTCAGTCAGGGAGCTCATTTGCATTGCAGTCGCTGCTTTATTTCTTGCTTTAAAGGAAACTTATTTCCAAATTAATTTTTTATTTCTACCCAAATGACTTGCAACATGGTATTTACAGAGTGAGCTGAGCCCACTGCCTGGCACGCCTGGCCCTTGTAAGATATGTTCTGGGAAAGCAGCTGTGAAGTTTTGGGTGATGTACGAACCTAGGCAAGGTCCCAGAATTACTTCCAGAACATAAGGTTCATCTGTATGTTTGACAAATTAAAACCATGGTGAAATATTATACACTGATAAACGAAATAAGTTTGTCCTGCAGAGAAGATAAACCTAGAATTCAATTCCCCTGTTTGTCAGGGAAGTCTGTTGCTTTCCTCATCCTTTAATGAGGGAGAGAGAGGTCAAAGTCACATCCAGCAGATGCCATTTCAGGGTCTGTGTCCAGCAGTTATAAGTATAGTTTAACTATTTGCCAGCACTTGCGCAAATATCTTTGTGCTCTCAAGAGGACTCCTGTTTCTCTCAACAGTCAAAAAGGTTTGAGTGCCTCTTGTTCTCTCATATCTCCCAAAAAAGGTCCTTTGCTGTGATGAGCCTGCAGTAATTACCAATTGAGATAAAAGACTGGAAGAATCAATTACTTGTCAGGAGGAAGAGAAGCTGGAAGAAAGAATTCAGAACTGAACTGTTACCTGAAATGTTAAACACATTAAGCACATATCATACTTTGGGGTACTTTGTGTGCATAGAAATGCAAAGTTTCAAAAATACCTGTCTCTTTTTTTTTTGGTTTCTCTAAAGTTTGGTATCTGTGAGCAGAGACTTATTGTTGCTGAGGCTCCTAAGGTTGCTGCTGTTCCTTTCATTTCAGACAAATTAACCTTTCAGTGATTCGTCAATATGTGGATTATCTGGTAAGCGCGCAGAACGTGAAGAGTGTTTTTGGTAAGTGTTTTTTTTTTTTTTTTTTGATGGAAACTGTGCTAAACAGCAGAATGTGAAGAGTGTTTTTGGTAAGTGGGTTTTTTTTTTTTGATGGAAACTGTGCTAAAACCCTTTTACCTGGCTGGCAACCCTATGATATCTTGATAAGAGTATCTTGATAAGAGGAACTGTGGATGTGGGATGATTCTAGACTATAGTGGAGGAACTGTGGATGTGGGATGATTCTAGACATTTATGTTCACTGGTGGAGAGAGTGTAGGTGATACTTAGGGCATCTGCTTTTGCCTACACCCCATTTCTGTGGGCTCATCAAAGCCAAATGGGCTTCTTGAGGAGACCCGTGGTGCACTGGGTGATACCAAGTTGGTCATGGCTCCCATTTCTCTCTTCTGCCTCTGTCTCAGGGACTGGTGCAGGGGCAGCAGGGATGGCTGGGTAGAGAATACAGCATCTGCTAAACCACTTGGCTTCACAGCCGGGCGTAGTTAAGTAAGCTGAAGTCAGTGATAAGATTTTGGTTCAAAACTTATGTGGAAGGAGTGCCAAGACAAAAAAGCAGAGCGTGGCAGTGACTTCAGCTGTCCCAGTTTAATCTGTTTAATCTGTTTAATCATTTGTGACTGAATATACTGACATGTCATTGTTTTCCAGGGGTGCTTTAGCCTAAGTAGGACACATGGTTCCACTCATGACAGAGACACTGAATTTCAGGTTGTGCTCTTTCCTTGGGGTAGAGGGTAGGCAGTCACCCTGCCTGGCTAGCTGGGTGTCCCTTTATAGCCTGACACGCTGCTGGGAGAAGGAGGTAGTGTCTGCTGGGGGGCAGTTTCCCAGTTTCAGCAGTTGATTCTGCCTCCTTCCTCCCAGAGCTGCTGATCCTGAAACACCCAGGTTTGCAACACAAGCATTTAGTGATGATAACACTGCAATTCCCACGCAGATGCTGCTGTGGACCATCGCTATCTTAAAATGAGTTGAGGGAAAAACGTTTCTGTTTAATATCAAAAGGGTCACTTCTTGTCTTCAGTAAAACCAGTGCGTGTAGGCCAGGCCTCAGCAAGTGTGTTGTGTTGTGTTGAAACAGTGAATGGCACAACAGGAGAAGGACTGTCCCTTAACACCCAGGAGAGGAAGCAGTTGGCGGAAGAATGGGTGTGCCAAGGAAAAGACAAGTGAGTAGCTGAGAGGGAACAGGGGATTCCAGATCTTGTGTTACGATATAGGCATCCCTGTGTGTCTGCTTGTCAGGTCAACACAGGTTAACCATAGGCTTAATCTAGCTTCAGTGAAGTTCTGGTTCGGCGGCTCCCTGGTCTGAAGTGAGTCATTTTGGCAGATCGGTATTTTTGATCATCACTGAAACCTCCCCAAAACTTCTGGATTTGTTTTTGTGCAGATTGGATCATGTGATCATTCATGTGGGAGCGCTAAGTCTGCCAGAGTCCCAGGAGCTGGTGTGTATATGATATAATTCCTTTTCACTATGTGTGTAATAAACGCAAAGCAAATGTACCTTCAGGTACTGTCCATTCTCTCTTTTATAGGCAAGACACGCAGCAGCCATAGGTGCTAGTGGTATTGCTGTAATAGCCCCCTTCTTCTTCAAACCCACAAACAAAGGTGAGAAGAAGTGATTGCCAGATCTGCTGAGGCCTTTTATATTGCCCTCCAAACCTTTATCATAGATAAGGGATTAATGCCATCTTCTTTCTTTGGAAAATATTCTGGTGATGATGTTTGCTCACCTATTGTGTCTGGTGCCATGCAAAAGCAAAACCTAGAAGAAACATTTTTTAGAGATGGGAGATACCAAAATTCTCCCCGTAAGAAGTGGGAAGGATGTCTTTTGGGATGTATTTTGTTACCCTCTTGTAAAAAGAAGAGTTGCTTATGGAAAGAGTAGTTAGCTAGTCTGTCTTCTGAACAGATGTTTTGGATTTTATGCTTGATCTGGGCCTCACTAGGAAGCAGCTGGTTCCATGTTGTTGCCTGCTGGACACTGACCAAGTTGATAAACTGCTAATACACAGGTGTGTATCAGCACACATTGTGTTCCACCTCTTGTTGCTGAGGTGATTGGGTTTGGTTCTGTGCACCTAAGAACTTACAAATTGAGTTTTTTGCTTTTAATATCATAAATGTAACATAAAAGAACCACACAAAGTGGAGGTTTGTAACAAAAATGCTAAAAGTTGTTTGAATTAATTATGAATGGAAATGTTCATATGAAAGCACCAGAATAGACCAGAGTGGATTGCCAGAATGGCTGGTATTGACAGCCAAGGACATAATCAGTGGCAATCAAACTGGTAAGCTCAGAAGAATAGCACAAAGATGAGCAGAAGACCTTTGCTGATGGTAGCAATGAGGTTTCAGCATGCTGCTCTTCCTGATACACCCATGTGAAGACTGCCTAGGATTTCTGAAGGATGCAGTGAACAAGGTTCTCAGGAAGAATGTCAGCCATAGTAACTCTTTGATTCCTAAAAGGTACAAAAAAGTTGTCTGAAAATCATCATCACCATTGAGCAGGGAGGTGAATGTGAACTTTGTCCCTTGTCCTCTGTGTTGCACACAAGTGATGCTGCTGAGACCACTTTGGCAGGCAGGTCTTGTAGTTTGCGTGTGAGAGAGCATGCGTGAGCTATATCTGAAAGAGAATGAGTGTGAGTGCCTTCCCCAAGATCTTCCTCTGAGTTTTGTTACAATTAATTTTTATTACGTGTGCAGGTTATTATATGATTGGCTGTGTATGGTATGCAAGCTATAGATGGCCTCTCCAGAGACCCTGCCTGCTGTGAATCTGAGCTGTCTTTCACCATAGATTGTCTCCTTTTCTTATGGAGGCACTTGCTTGTTTTCTTCCAGATGAGCTGATTGCTTTCTTACAGAAGGTTGCGTCTGAAGCCCCTGCGGTGCCATTTTATTACTATCACATTCCTCCTCTGACGGGCGTGAAGAGTAAGTACTGCTTAGTCAGCTCTCCCTGAGCCCATAGGCTCATACCAACCTGGGTAATCCCAGAGGCTGGTGTGATGAGTCTGCCAGCAGTGTATGGCCTCTGCTCCTCTCACACACAAGCTGTAATGGAAAGGATCCTTTCTGAAATTGGGAGGTGAATCCAAGACTGGAAAATAAGTTGAATTCCTCTTCATTGGAAAAAATGTCACAGCTTAGGAGTAGTGAACAACTGGGACAGAGGAGGTGATGCTGATCATGGCTTTGCAATTAGTGTGGACTGGGATAGGTAATTTCCTTTGCTAATCGTAGTTTTGAATCCTGATTTTTTTGCAAGATAGTGACGCCTTTGCTAATCATAGTTGAATCCTGATTTTTTTGCAAGATAGTGACCACTAACTCTCTTTGTGTACGTTCACCACATTTGCTAGTAAATGCTGTGTGAAACCAAAGTGCTTCTCAAGTTACATTATTTAGCAGAGGAATGAGGAATAGAATACAGATCTTTGGTTATTTGCTCTAGACAGCAGGTGGTGTTCCTGGATGCATGAATTTATTCTTAAATACGTTATTACTAGTTCATTCCTAAATTTTCACTTACCCAGGGTCTTTCCCTTCTGATCTGGTAAAAGGAATGCTTCAAAGAGGATGGAAAGACATCTTTGTATAACTCTGGGAAATAATCACACTGAAATTGTCTTACTGGTTGTAGGCTTAGGCCAAAAGTGAACATCTTGTAAAACAGTAAGTGTCCCTCTTGGGGACAAGACAGGGAAATCTTTCAGAAAGGGGGGGTGTTTCTTCATATGAGATTGCTGTTCTGCACAGTTCGTGTTGAAGAGTTGCTGGATGGAATAAAAGAGTGGATCCCCACCTTCCAGGGTGTGAAGTTCAGCGACACGGACCTCTTGGACCTTGCACAGTGTATAAACAAGAACGAGAGAGAACAGTTTGCGTTTCTTTATGGGGTGGATGAGGTAAGAGGCTCCTCTTAAAAGGTATTTCTTCTATGGCTTTCTCTTGCTTCAGCCTTGGGGAAAAAAGACACCCTAGAAATTCAGTGCCAGGTATTTTTGCTGCTCCCTCCCACCACCCCTTTTTTTTTTCTTTCTTTTGTTACACGAATTAAAAATGTGTTTTGTTTTTTTCTCCCCCCACCCCAAACTAGCAACTGTTGAGCGCACTGGCAATAGGGGCAAATGGAGCAGTTGGAAGGTCAGTATGGCTTGGACTCCTTCCCTTTGACACACACACAAGGTATTGATGGATCTTCCACTATCAACACAGTATTTCTCTTAACTATCTTCTGTCACCACAATGGAGGATTTTGCAGGGTAGGGCTGTACAGTAGCAATCAGATGGATAAGCTGGCTCCAAGTGCTAGCAATGGGACTTGGGATATAACCTGGGATCTCAGATTGTTTGTTTGGGTGATTATTGCTGCAGTCTGAAAACTGACCCAAAGGTTTCAACATATTTCTTTATCCTCATAGCAACTTGTTGAAGTAGCGAATTGCTTTTATCTTCATTATGTGGGTAAGGAACCAAAACCCAGAGAAGTTAAAATCATTAGTTCACATGAGAAGTCTGTGAGGAAAAGGGATTTGCTGAGTTCAATTTCTCATTTGTCTTCTGCTCCTCAAACCAGGCTGCTTAGATTAATTACTGTGATACCTGTATTCTTGTGTAGATGATCCATTAAATGAACATGCAACTGGAAAATTAAGTGATTGACTTTCCGTATTGCCTCATTGTATCTTTCGATTTTTGATTTTGAAAAGCAGTTCCATTTGGAAAAATCTGGGAAGAGAAATCTGCTCTCTAAGCTCTTCCATAGGGCTTGGCATACTTCAGATGCTTGACAGTATAAACCACACAAAGACTACACGAATCTCTTATCATAATAATGGCATTCTTATAATGTCAACAGCAAAAGCCTGTGACTACTTCTTTTGTTTCGGTGGTTCTAAGCTTCTCCTTTGCATTTACTGATTCTATTTTTGGTTTGGTTTTTTTTGGCAGTACTTACAACTATTTGGGCCGAAAAACCAATCTGATGTTGCAAGCCTTTGCAAAGTCAGACCTTGCACTAGCACGGAAGTATCAGGTACAGTATCTTCACTGTGTCCTCTAGGAGCAGCTTGCTTTCTCCTCTAGCTTTACGGGAGGTGTTTTCTGTGTGGTTTTGTCATCCATACCCTAAAGTAGCTTTATTAAAGGAAACTTCTTTCAGCTCCAAACCCCCTGCTTGTTATTTATCTCTCCTCACTTTTTTGACAACTTCTTACTAACTTTAAACCAAGACTTATCTTGCTTATCCTTCAACTCTTTAACCTCATCTGGTTAGAGGTGAAGTGAGAGTGAGCAATGGCCTGGCCTTTTTTCTTGAACAAGCCCACAATGGCAAGCCCCTTGACTAGGAGTGTTCTGGGAATACCTTACATGATGTAGGACAGACAACTGTCCCAAATCACTCTGCCTTGGACCCTTCTTGGTTTTGGGCACCTTGAAGATTTGTGAGTTCTGAGCAATTAGTATACAATCTGTAACCAATGTTTTTATGGGACATTTGAGGTATCCTTAAAATAGAAGTGACTGCAGGATGAAGGTCTAAATGATGATCTGTTCTGGGAAGTCGGTTCACTATCACAGAACACCCAAGTTGGAAGAGATCTCAGGGATCATGTGGTCCAACCTTTCTTGGCAAAAACACAGTCTAGACAAGATGGCCCAGCACCGTGTCCAGCCAAATTTTGAAAGTGTTTCAATGTTGGGGAATCTGCTTCCCTGGGGAGATTATTCCAATGGCTGATTGTTCTCATTGTGAAAAATTTTCCTCCAATGCTGGGGAATCCACTGCTTCCCTGGGGAGATTATTCCAATGGCTGATTGTTCTCATTGTCAAAAATTTTCCTCTTGTTACTCCAATCTGCCCTGGAGTAACTTATACCCATTACCCCTCTTCTTTTCCATGTGACTCCTTCTAAAAAAGGGAACTCCAATCTCCCCTGGAATAACTTGTACCCATTACCCCTCTTCTTTTCCATGTGACTCCTTCTAAAAAAGGGAGTATCCACTAGGCGGTGGATATTCAGATTTTTAAACCTTTAGAGCCTGATCTGAGACTTAGCAGTGTTGGCAGACTGCTTGCAGTGAGGGACAGCTTGAACATGAGTGACAGACTGAGAGGGAGTAACAGTTTTCTTATATCCTTCCCTCCTTCCCCTATTCCAATGTAATTCAGTTAGTATTTCCCATAGACCAGCCAGGTGGCCAAGGGCTTTTCTCAAAGCTGTGTAGCAATTGTATACGATGTCAATAACACAATAGCTCTAGATGCTTTTACATCTTAAAATTTGAAGGAGTTACTAAAACTACTGTCTTGTCTTTTCTAGTTTCTCACTGGGGAATTTCTCAGCTTTGTCATCAAACTGGGTAAGTCCTGCACTGCCTTCTTGCCTCGTTGTATCTAAAAATGCAGACTTGGTGCTCCAGAAACTCACATGTTGCTGTGCCCTCAGAACTTCCTTCCTGAAAGATTTCAGTGAAAAAATGATGTGTCCGCTGTTTTCCGAGTTAGGAGCAGCTAGGAGCTCAACAAAGGGAACTGATCAAGCATCCCCCAAGGGATTCCACTCTCACTTCCTTCCTTCTTCTGTGAAACCTCACAGCTTTAAAGCTGTGACCATGATTTTCCCTTTTTCTTATCCTGACTCTTTTCTGTGGGTTGTTTTTTTTTTTCTTGTTCTGTCACCATAAGTCTATTTCTGGCTTCTTTTCTAGAGAATAATTTTCCTTGTTCTGTCACCAAAAGTCTATTTCTGGCTTCTTTTCTAGAGAATAATTTTCCCAAAATGATGGTGCTCCACTAGGAAAACAGCTTTGATGCTCATCTCTCCTGTCTTGCTATAATTTAAGAGCAACTCTGTTTAAGGCTGTACAATGCCAAAGCATTTTAAAATGGAATGATTTTTAGAAATAATTTTCCCAAAATGATGGTGCTCCACTAGGAAAACAGCTTTGATACTCATCTCTCCTGCTTTGCTATATCTTAAGAGTAACTCTGTTTAAGGCTGTACAATGCCAAAGCATTTTAAAATGGAATGATTTTTAGAAAAAAAACCAGTTTTAATATAAAAAGCAATTAAAACCAACCAAGTCAGAGTAGTGTAGGGAGACTAAATCGGACATTTCATGGTTTTCACTTAGTGAAGAGAACTGTTCACTGTGGTTTTGCTATACATATGTGAGCCCCAATGAATCTAGCAGAGCTTTAGTGCTTGGTTGTATAACAGTTTTAATATAAAAAGCAATAAAAACCAACCAAGTTAGAGTAGTGTAGGGAGACTAAATCAGACATTTCATGGTTTTCATTTAATGAACTGTTCACTGTGGTTTTGCTATACATATGTGAGCCCCAATGAATCTAGCAGAGCTTTAGTGCTTGGTTGTATTTCTTGGGTTAAAAGTCAGAGGAAATGCATCATTATTTAGCCTTATAGATAAAGAGGCAAAGACTGAATTTCCAGAGGTACATCAGGACACTTGAGTTACAGACAGAGGGGCCTCCTGAAGTTTCCCACAGTTGTTTAAGCTGGATCTCAATATCATTGTCACGTCAGCAGGATGTTACTACTTCCAGGGCTTGGCTTTATGTGAATCTGTGTCAGGGAATAGCTGTGAGGCTGCAAACATCAGGTTGCTGTGATGATGAATTAGCTGGGATAGCTCAGCCTACCAGCAAAACCAAGTTTGAAGTGGCCTGATTTTTGCTTGGTTTACCGGTGGAGGACTCGTGCTGTCTCTTCTGTTGTCAGGGCTGCGTGGCAGTACATTTTGGCAAGGAGAAAGGAACACACATACAGGCCTGGTCGTCTGTAAAACTGACGTGAACTTTACGAACTTTAGTTCCTAAAGTGCATGTCTAAGAAAATAGTCTGCTTGGTATCTTTGAGAGGGAAACAATCATGCTATAATGTATAAATAAATGTAATAAGTAGCTGTAACTTTTACTGTAACATCTTTCCTGTCTGCAAGTATGATCATCTCTTCTTAGTTACACTGTTTTCACTTCCAAGAAGTGCTTAAAGCCTGGTTTATGCCAAATTACACAAGAAATCTGCGCTGCTGCTTTTTGGGACACCTGTATAGAGACTGCTTTAAGCAAAACTATCTGTAAATGACCTGATTTTGCTTTTGTCCACCCAGGTTTTGGTGTTGCACAGACTAAAGCTATAATGACTTTTGTTTCTGGCATTCCCATGGGACCTCCACGGCTTCCACTTGTTGGCGCCTCTGAGGAATTCATCGCCAAGGCCAAAGCCAAGCTGAATAGCATTGTGTGGCCTGATGGCGACTGATGTTCACTTCCACGTTACTCTGGAAGTGGAGACACTTTTCTGGGATTCATTGTCACTTGGCACACTCCCCACATGATGGGCTGTGATTTCTTTCAGGGAATTGGCGATGCATCTGAGCCCCTTCCTGTTAGGGCTGGATTTCTTGGTGGCACATGTAGCCACCTTTTCTTGTAACTTTACTCTGCTCCCCCGGAGCTCTGCACATCCCAGGACTAGCTGGTATCTCTTAATAAAAAATTAAAAAAGAAAATTTTCCCTAGTTGAAGGATCCTGACTCCTTTTGTCCAGAAAGGAGGAAGATCTGTCTCTGCTCTCCCTCCAGCTAGATCATGTTTTGTCCTGTCCCTTTTTAACTATCTGCAGCACTACAGTGTGTTTTTAAACACGGACATGACACTGCCTGGTTGCTCAGACTGGTATTTTACTGTTTGTCACAAAGCCATTGGGACACTGACTATATATGTAAAATCTAGTTCTGTATTTGTACACCTTTGTTTAATGCAAAATTTAAAAAAAAAAACCCGAACTTTTGCAACAGAAAGCTTTTGGCTCTCTAATGAGCAGGTATTTCTTCATCTTTTTCCATATGACAAAAGTAAGCCAGAGTTGAGCTGTACATCTCTGTGTTGCAATGCAGAATACTGCCTGATGTGTTAGAAGGTCACCCACTGTCAGACTGGAAGGTGCTCTTTTGTACCCTGGACTTACACCTCTCCATCAGCTTGAGCTCTTGTGTGACTGTTACACGTGTCTGAGAAATGTGAGGTCTCGTGCCCTGTACTGCTCAGCCCACACCTCCTGACAGTGTTTCCACATGCAAAAATGATCCCATGGGATGTTTGGAAGCAGAAAAGAGAGAGAGGGATACATACTGAGGCGTGTCACTAACTTTTCATCACACCTGAGCATGAAAAAAAATCTACTAACTTCCTCTTGCTATGTAACCACTGAGCAATAAATAGGTGATAATAAAGGCTTCTTTTTCTTCCTCTTTGAATTTTTAAGAAATTTAGGAAAGCTGTTTTTCAGTGTGATGGTGGGCTCCCCCTTACCCCCAACCTGACCTTTCTGTCCTATAACCTTGCCCAATTGAGTACCACCTATGGTGGTTGTAATGGGTGCACGGAGTTGTGATGGTGGTTTCAGGGAGACAGGCAACAACAGACTAGGCAAGGGCTAACGAGCCATGCGCCTGCCTGACCACAACACTGGTACTGTGGTCAATATGCAAATATGACTCTTAAGTCAATCATCTTACCCCCGTAAATAGTGGGCAGCCCAGGCCAGGATCTCCCCTTGAGTGGGGATGCCTCTCGGGATTATTTCTCAAGATTCAAAGATTCCTCATAGAATCATAGAATGGTTGGAGTTGGAAGGGACCTTAAAGATCATCAAGTTCCAACCCCCTGCCATGGGCAGGGACACCTCCCACTAGAGCAAAAGCCCATCAAAGGGCTCAAAGCCCCATCCAGCCTGGCCTTGAACACCTCCAGGGATGGGGCATCCACAGCTTCTCTGAGCAACCTGTTCCAGTGTCTCACCACCCTCACAGGAAAGAATTTCTTCCTAATATCTAATCTGAATCTCCCCTCTTCCAATTTAAAACTGTTACCCCTTGTCCTGTCACTGCGCTTCCTGACAAAGAGTCTCTCCCCATCTCTCCTGTAGGCCCCCTTTAGGTACTGGAAGGCTGCATAAGGTTTCCCTGGAGCCTTCTCTTCAGGCTGAACAACCCCAGCTCTCTTAGCCTGTCTTCGTAGGAGAGGTGCTCCATCCCTCTGATCATCTTCGTGGCCCTCCACTGGACCCATTCCAACAGGTCCATGTCCTTCTTATGTTGGGGGCTCCAGAGCTGGACACAGTACTCCAGGTGGAGTCTCATGAGCGCAGAGTAGAGGGGTAGAATCACCTCCCTCGCCCTGCTGGCCACGCTTCTTTTGATGCAGCCCAGGATGGGGTTGGCTTTCTGGGCTGCCAGCGCGCACTGTCGGCTCATGTCGAGCTTCTCATCCACGAGCAGTCCCAAGTCCTTCTCCTCAGGGCTGCTCTCCAGCCATTCTCTGCTCATCCTGTATTTGTGCCTGGGGTTGCCACATCCCAGCTGCAGGACCTTGCATTCGGCTTGGTTAAACTTTATGAGGTTTGCACAGGCCCATCTCTCCAGGTCCCTCTGGATGGGATCCCTTCCCTCCAGCGTGTTGACCGTGCCACACAGCTTGGTGTCATCGGCCAACTTGCTGAGGATGCACTCGATCCCACTGTACACATCTCCAACAAAGATGTTAAACAGCACTGGTCCCAGTACCGACCCCTGTTCCTTGCTGATCCTTGGAAAGTGACTAATAGCATGCTAAGCTTTGAAATCTTAGCTAAGTGATACAAAGGGTCGATTGCACATTTTATAGTCCCTTAGACATAAACTGTTCACCACGACTGGGGCTGGGCCCAGCTGTGCCTGGACTCCTCTCTCAGAAGGGGTTCAGAAAGCAGGGGTGGAGGGGGGCCTTTCTCAAACCTCGGCTCGCCGGGGACCCAGGTCACCCCGACGGCTCTGTATGACCCCGGGAGGTCCCTTGTCCTCTTCGCACACCGCAAGCACTTGCTGGGCCCTTTTAAAAATAACTCCTAGGGGCTGCCAGGCTAATTGCACCTCGCCCTGTTTCCGTGCGGGGCAGGTGTAAATGGCGGGTTGGGGGCTGTGTGTGAATTTTCCTGACAAGCCCCGGTTTGCTCCCATCTCGACTGGGTCACATCTGGGCGCGCTTTGTGCCGCTGGAGCCCGGGGGAGGGTGGGGGCCGTTCCCGGCATGGCGCTCCGGGCACCGGTGACGGGACTGCCCTCCCCGGCCGCGGCCTGGGCCCTCCCCGGCCGCGGCCTGGGCCCTCCCCGGCCGCGGCCTGGGCCCTCCCCGGCCGCGGCCTGGGCCCTCCCCGGCCGCCGTCGCTGCGCAGGCGCAGTCCCCGCCGTGAGGGGCGGGAGGGCGGTGCTGCCCGCCGCTAGGCCGGCGCCGGGAGGAGCGGGCGGGCCGTATCCCCGCCGGTGCCCCACTCCGTATCCTCGGCCGGAGCCATGGGGGACGTGAAGAACTACTTGTACGCCTGGTGCGGGAGGAGGAAGCTGATGCCGGCCTACGAGATCCGCGCCAGCGGTGGCCGGAGCCGGCAGACCTTTCTCTGCGAGGTGCGGGCCCTGCTGCCAGGCCGGCGGCCCCGAGGAAGGGCTGGGGTCTGGGCGGGGGGAGGTCCGGGGCCTGCCTGGCCCTCAGGGGAGGGCGCTGGAAGCTGAGGATAATTCCATGGAGGGGGAAGGTGGCCGTTTATCAGCCAAAGCGCCCAGGTTTCGTGTGCGCGGTGTGGAATGGAGGCGGTGGGTTTGTAGAGCCTGAGGCGGCCCCGCACGGTGAGTGCTCTGGTGATGGAAGGGAGTGGATTTTACCCAGTTAAAATTGTCATGAAGGGAAGGTGGTGCGTGTCGCCGTCGTGAGGAGCTTTGGTCCTCCCTTGGGCTTGCGTGGAGATGTATTAGAAAATTCCCGTTGGCTTGGCTGCTGGTGTGTACGCTGCTATGTGCCGTCGCTCTGTTCCTGCGCCGTGGATGTGCCAGCCCAGAGATTGGAACCCGGGTTGGCTCCCAGAACGAGCTGACACGGAGTGCCAGGCCATATGTAGGTTATTTCATAAGCAATGCCATAGATTTGCACTAAACTGCCTTGAATTTTTCATTACACTCTTCATCCTCTGTTCGTCTTCCCCACCAATAACAAAACGGAGCAGCACAGTGGTATTAAACCGGTTTTAAAGGTGTTGTAACTGAGCATTGCTTGGCTGAAGTGGTTGTGTGTACAGTTACACTCCTAAACTGTTGTGTATGTTGATGCTCTGGGAGCATCTGTAGAAACTTCACAGCTGAAGGGATAGATGTCACCAAACATTCCCTTTTACTGATTATCAGTCTGGTATGATGGCTGTGAGTCCAGTACAGTTACTGTTTTGGTTGGTGATGCCGTTGTCCTGGTAGATGGATAATTTGCTGAAAGTGGAAGCTCATTGTTTGGAACCTGCTAAGCAAAATAGTGGCAGAGTGTATTGTTTGATGAGAAAATGGGCATTGGCTACCAGCGTGATTCAGCTCTGGGGGACAAATGCAGTTTGGCATTAGTGGCATACAAAAATCTGGCTGGGACTGGCTGGAATGTTGTATGCAAGTCTGCTTACTTTATTCTTTATTATTATTTTTTTTTAAGAACAACTAGCTATAGTAAAAAGCTGTTCACATGGTCAGCAGGGTGACGAGTGGAAATCAGAAGTGCTGGAAGTCTACCCAAGTGAAGCTGAAATGAAATGGAGTTGCTGATTATAAATGCAGAAGAAGGGCAATAGCTGTTTAATAGGCGGGATGATTGTTGTGGCAAAGCAGGTGTGAAGTGTCTGGTCAGTCTGAATTTTGAATAAACTTCCTGTGATCCAAGTTTTGCAGCAGCCTGTCAGGCAGGCAGTTGCTGCTGTAAAGTTTGTCTCTGAGTTTATGAAATACATTGCATTACTGGCTGTAATAACGTAGAGCTACGGTAGAGGACACACAAGCTCACGCCTGTCCTTGCTGGCTGAGGGTTTGGGATTAAGGAAGGTTGAGGAAAGTGACCCTGGGCAGAGCTTGCTGCTGTGTGCTGGCAGTAATCCCACGCTGATTCATTTTCTTCAACGAGATTTTTGGGAAATAGCCATGCTCTCTGAGAATGGATTGTGGGTGTTTAATAGGTATAAAGTTTACCTTCAAAACCTACAGAAACACACATAAAGATATGTAGTGATATGTAACGATACTTAATAGTAATATTTCTCCTGTACTTGTTAGCAACTGAAATGGGGTGTTTCAGTCAATACTACTGTTTTTCAAGATCTGTTCACTTGTACATGCCACAGATCTGTGTTTTTATTTTCAGGTTCGAGTGGAAGGCTTTAACTATGTTGGCATGGGCAATTCCACTAACAAGAAAGACGCGCAGAGCAACGCTGCTCGAGACTTTGTCAATTACTTGGTGCGGGTGAACGAAATGAAGAGAGAGGAAGTTCCTGCTTTCGGAGTAAGCTGCTCTTTCTCCTTACCAAGGGCTAATCTTTAATTGCAGTGCTGTGCATCCAGTCGCATTTCATCCCTGGAGTTCAGTTTGGCTTCTTCTGTGAAGAAGACTGAACGTGCAAGATTTTTGCTTGCAGTGCTGGGCGGCTGGAATATGTACAATGGATGTTGTAGGGTGATCTGGGAGAAAAACAGCTGTGTGTAGGTCTGCATAGCTGAGGAGGCTGGGGAGAATTCAGAGTCCCTGCAAGGTGCAGCCTGACTTTAAAAGTGCTGAATAATCACACCTGACACTGGGAGTTGTTTTAAATGCGTGTTATGATACACAATACTATGTTTTTTAAAAAACTAAAATAAAAAAATTAATAAGCACAAACATCTCAAGCCAGATGTTGAAAACTTGGCCTTGTTAAACCATAAAAGCTTTCTGCCTTAGCTCCCCGTGTGTGTAACAGGATCGCTGCTTTTTATGATGTTTTGTGAACCATGTGAGCATCAGCAGTGACTGTGACATAAAAGCTGAGGAGGAGGGTAACTCTGTCCTTACAGCAATTTTAGAGAACAGTCAGTAAGGCATGAAGCTACGTGTTATATGTTGGGAAGAAAGAGTCTTTTTCTAGTGCATTATTAAGAATATATCTGTGTAAGATACATAGTTTGATCAGTGGAAGCAGTGTCCCTGCCTGGTTAGCCCAGGTGAAGCCCTACAGTAACAGCGTTTCTGATGTACCACTCAGTTTCACGGCAATGCAGTGTGCTGCATGGCTGGATCCTGAACTAAATGGGGTAGCACGTCCTGTGTTTGGGATAAACCAGAGGTGGTGTGATCAGTTAGCTAAACATACACATCTCAAAAATGAGAAGAATTCAAATTGTAATGATAAGCTATAATTT